TATATATATATATATATATATATATATATATATATATGCGCTTAAAAATAGAGAATATTTTCTGTTCTCAGTATACAACTATTGCTTTTTAAACACGAAAGTTATGATTCTGCTTTTGTTTCTGGAACGCGGCCATGTGGGGGAAATTCCGAAACTTGACGTAACGAAATTTTCAACTTTAAGTTCCGAAACTGCGTTTCAAATCAAACAATTAACTAAATCTTGATAATATCTGGAGGTGTTCTAAAATGGCCGCCAAAGTACAGACTTCGAACAAGTTAAAAAGAAAAAAAATGAAAATTAGTAAGGTAAGAAATCGATTTAATCTTCCCATTAATCATGTACTGGCATGATTTCGGGCGAACTATTCACGATCCAGGCGCGTTCCGTCTTAATGTGAAAATTATGATGATGAAGCCGTTTAACTCTTTTGGAGTGTGTCACACGCCTGTTCGTGAGTCAAAAAATATTGCTCTACCATAAAACAATTTTTTTTATTGCTTTTTTTTTACCATTCGTGACTCATTGTGGTTGTTGTGGTGTTACGAATCCATCTATAACGGGATCACCTTTTATTCTTTTTTGTTGTATATAATGTTTTGTTTGAATTGAGTAATTTTTTATTGTGTTGATGATGAAATGATTAGTTATTAATTGTTCCGCTTGTAGGGATGATTTATTAATTGTTTTAATGATTAGTTTATTTGAGTAATGTGTTAATTATGTCTTTGTGCATCATAAAAAGATAATTTTCTTCTTAGCGTTCTCAAAATCTTTACACAATTACGCGAATGATCTGTAATAAACAAAGAAGGTATAAATATATTTTCAACTGTCATCAGCACAGAAAAAAAATAAATTCAAAGCGGTAATTTTCTATGAACTAATATTTAACTCTTATTTAATAATATTTACCACTAATATTTATTTATCCCCTGTTTTTGATATTATTCATTGCATTTGGTACGTTTTTGATAAAAATTATTCGAAATTAAAGACTTAAAATAAAATGATTATTTTTTTATTATAATATCAAGTAGTAGTCATCACCCTTTAGTGCCCGAGGGCAGCGGGCAGCAATAAATAGGCTAACACGTCTGCTAATATAGATACATAAATTCAGTAGTAGAGGAAGATAACAATTAATTTTAGAAAAAATTTTACGAAATTTTGTAATTTTATTAATTTTGCAAAATTTTTATTTAAATGTCATTCTTGAAACATATGAAGTAAACCACTTTTACAACTACTTGCATAACGGGCTAAAAGTTTGAAAACGACTTTGTAATTAAGTTTTGTGATGTATAATTCAAATAAAATCCCTCATGTTAGTATTTTCACTTGCTTTTGCATAAGATTTCAATAATGTCGAATGACTGAAAAGCCCTTGTTTTACTTGCATTGATTTGCTTCAAAAAAAGCAGCAAAGCACAAAAGCAGATTTTTCTGACAGCTGTTCAAAAATAAAGCTATGCAATCTGAAGGTTAATGTTAATTATCCGTCCTGTTCTTTATAAATCATCAAAAAAATTAATACGTCAATTTTTTATAAGTATCAGCGACGACTTTGATGTTCAGAATTATCGTCTGAAATAATAGTCTATCTTTTTTAATTTTATTTTCTAACTATTTTTTTTACTGAATAAGATATTTCATGAGGCCTTTAATTTTGTGCGAGATATTGAGAAGATATTTAGTCTGAGATATTCAGTGGGCAACTAGTGACCCGCGAGCCACGTGTTGCAGACCCATTAATATGAAGTAATCGAAAAATCACATGAAATTTTGAAATTACCTAATTACGCAGCATTTCATAATAAATGTATTGAGTTACCATTTAAAAATTAAACAGTAAATAAGTCTTATTCACTTTTATGTTTAATTTCATGCAAAAATTTGTATTGAATTTTATATAAAACTTTTATATTTAAGTTTATGTAAAATTTTTGTATTTAATTTCATGTAAAACTGTATCTGATCAACATATTTAATTTAAATACTGAATACAAAATAATGATTTAAAAATTTTGAGAGCAATATTAGAAATTCAGTTTTTGCACTATTGCTACTTATTATCGTTGGAGAAAACGCATGACGAGTTTTTACAATAAACAAAAATGAACTGAGAATTTTAAAAACAAAGTTTTGGAAAAAGTTACTCAGATAACCGATTAAAATGGTTTGATTTAAATTTTTTCCCAATAAAATTGGGTAATAAATCCGTGAAATCAAATCTGGGTATAAACAATAAAACATTTTCTTATATTTTCATAGAATAATTTTAAATTTTGATTTAACAATTGGTTTGTCATCGCGGAAAAAAATAACTATAGATCAGTGTTTCCCAAACTTGTGACTTTAGTGTACCCTTTCTAAATTTTTCGCAACGCTGTGAACCACTAATAAAAAAATTAATGTATTTTGTACTATAAAAAAAAATTACACAAAAGGCTGTTGACACCACTAATTATTAATTGTTAACTCTGTAAAACATAGCTAATAGAAAAATACGTAATGGAAAATTTTCATGGCTAGCATTGCAAGATATTTCGCATAAGAACGCGTACCGTGTTGTTTCTAATTTTTTCTTGATATAGATCGTAGTGTTCATACTAATGTATATTAATTAAAACTCCCTAATCAGCAATAAATTATTATGCAGTTTTCACTTTAAATTATTACACTACTTAAAGACTTATTAATTATTAAAAAATATTTAAAAACCGTTAATAGTTTAATTCTTTATTTCGATCTTTGTATTTTTATTTATGTTCAATAATTGTAATCCCGCAGTTAAGCAATAAATTATTACGTACGATTTGATTTAGATTATTACAATGCATTAAACAAATTACTTTACCTAGGAAATATTTTCAAATTACTTTTAACTTATTTTTTTATTCATATCTTTATATTAATATTTATATAAAATAAAAAATATTCAAATCATCAATAAATCATTTTGTAAGACTAAGTTTAGATTATATTATTGCAAAGCATCTAACCACTCTGTGAGACCTAATGCCTTTATAAAGTTTAAAAAGTTATTTAAATTAAAACATATTAAATCGTATATGGTTTAATATGTTTTAATTTAAATTCCACATAACTTTTAATTATCAATTAAAAGTTATGTGGAATTCACTTTGAAAACAAATAACAATGCATTAAGCAAATTATTTTACCTAGGTAATATTTTCAAATTATTTTTAACTTATTTCTTTATTTAGATCTTTATAACTTAAAATCAAGCTCTTCTTTTCGTCCTATCTACATCAGTTTCTTAGTTTTCCTGCATTGCTACTGTCATAGCGAGGTAAATGGTTTTACACGGTCGGTTTTTCGCAGTTACAACAATAGCAAATTCATACACACTGTATCGTTTTTCTCTTATTACTTGACATATTATTACCGTTTATTATTATTATTACGTACATTTTAACTTTTTTTAAAATATAAATTTACGAATTTATGTTAATTTTATTTAAAAATTTACATTAACATGCTTTTCGCCATTGTTCTTGAATGGATAAATTTTTCACTTTATTTTATTTTTGTTTTTTCTGAATTAATTTACTTTAATACTTCTATTAAATATCTAAAGTAGAAGAATAACAAATCGTGAACTTTTTATCTAAAATACTTGAATTAAATATTGATTTCAACTCAATTAAAATCATGCAAATAGTTTTATTATGAATTACATTTGTAATATGTAATTTTTACGAAAGTGTATGCTATGCGAAAAACTATTTCTTGTATAAAACTTTTAATGTAGTATGTCATATATGATTACTTAATAATCTATTTCATAAAAAAAAAAATTTAACAAAATATTTTAAAAAATAGCATTGGGAGCATCCTTGTTGAATCCTAAACTATAGATTTATGTATCTATGAGAACTTTGTTTTTAAAGATATTTCAATTATTTAAATTTAAAAAACTATTATTTTTTTATAGTTTAAACTGTTTATAGCTTAAGGTATAGAAGTAAAATTCAGTAATACTTTATTCATTTTCAAGTTTCAATAATTTTTACTCGAACGAGTCGTTTTCTTTAGGACTGTAATTTAAAACCGCAAATGCATTTTGTGAAAATAATCATACTTTTTCAGAGTAATAACACTGTAAATACCAATGACATTTTTATTAGAATTTATTCCAATTTTGATCTAATGTAGATAGTAAGTTACCTAATGTACTATAGTTATCTAATGTAGATTCCTACTAGCCAGTTATTTTATCACCAATTTATCTTATTTTTTATTAAACTTGAAAAAAATACGAATTATTATTTGCTTAATATAAAAATTTGTTCATAACATTTGAAAAATTCTAAAGAATTTTTAAATTTTCATTTCAGAATTCCACCATACATTGCAGTAGAAAGTCGTGCCCGGCATTAGATTGCTGGCCAGAACATCAAATCAAAGATCCTGAAGATTGTTGCGCTAGATGTAAAAGTCCCGAAGAAAAGAAGGCTATTTGCATGCACGATGGAAAAGTTCTAGAAGTAAGTTTTAAAAAATTCTGAGAAGCAGTTTTACTAACAATTCCGACTATCTTTAAAAATCTCACTCTAGAAAATTCTAGTGGAGGAATGTTTTAAGTGATATTTTAATGAATTTATAAATATCCTAAAAATAACAACATCAGGAAACTGGTCTTTTTCATAATATTTGGCAAAGCTAACACATACGCACAGCTAACCGCTACATACGGTTAAATAAATAAAAAATGTAAGCTTTTTTTAATGTCACTCGGTAATTTTTCCCACTAATCTCTTCAATTATCAAAATTTCCCCTTATATATATATTATTTCTTTATTNATATATAAAACTAAAAATATATATATATAAAACTGAATATATATATATAAAAACTATATATATATAAAACTGGAAAACTATTTAAATAACATGTAAATTATTTATTTTAATGTTTTTAATCATTGCACCCAAATGAAACATATATTTAAGTCAATTCAGATGCAATGTTACTGCACTTGTATGAACTGTTTCTTATATTGTTGGACTGCTTCTTATATTGAACTGTTTCTTATATTGAACTGTTTCTTATATTGGATTGTTTCTTATATTGTATGAACTGTTTCTTATATTGTATGAACTGTTTCTTATACTTGTATGAACTGTTTCTTATATTGAACTGTTTCTTATATTGTATGAACTGTTTCTTATACTTGTATGAACTGTTTCTTATATTTTCTTACAGGATGGTTACAGGTGGCAGTTGGAAAAATGCAAACACTGCATGTGCAGGGATGGTCAGGTAGATTGTGTTGTGGAACCATGCGAAACTCAAATTACATGCCCAGCAGGACACACACTTAAAACACGGCCAGGAGATTGTTGTCCGTCCTGCGTTGAAGGTACAAAAATATTAAAAGGAACATTTGGTGTTTTTATTCGTATGGTTGTAATACCCTCCCTTTAAAGTATCCGGCTAAGTACGACACATTTTTTAAACAGCTTTAATTTAAAAAAAAGTAAACTTTTGAATGCATATTTACAAAATCAAAAAATATTTTTTCGAAATAAGGACAAGTTTAAGCAAAAAACTACAAATTTTACATGTCCGGCTAACACTTCTACAACAAATTGTAATGCATAAATGTCAAAATATTTTTTTCTAGATCAATAATATGGTTTCTCTTGTTTTGAAATAAAATCTTTAAATAATTTCAAACGTACAATGAAACTAAATATAGTATTTAAGAATGATTTTTTAAAAGAAAAAAATTTAAACACTCTTACATAAAACATAATAAAAATAATGAAATCGCACTTAGACCTCAGTTTTTAGCTCAAAACATAACTAATATATTCATAATCTACACGCAATATTTTAAAGAATTCTGTAATAAAATTTTTCTTTTGTAATGTCTGTTAGTGCAAAAAGATTTTCTCAAAAACAAAGTTTTTCCGACATTTAAAGAAAAGAACGTAATTGCAGAAAAAATACTAAAATAATTTATTTTGTATTAATAAATATATTTAGAAACAATAACCCTGATTTTCAATTTAAATAAACTTAAAATCAAATGAACAAAAGTTCAAATATAGACGATAAAAAAAATTAAACTTTCGTGGAAATTACCAATTTTTATCCAGTGTGTTCTTAAGAATACTTTTTTTTTGCAATCTAATTATTTTTTCTGATTAATATTAAAATAACTTCTGCATCTGGCTTGCACCGACCACAGTGATGATGTGAAATATTCTCAGTGGCAGACGGATCATGGGTTAGAATCCCCTTGCAGTTAGACTAACCGTGGGAGGTCTTCGTGGTTTTCCTCTCCATATAACGCAGATGCTGGTTAGCTCCATCAAAAAGTTCTCCACGAGTGTAAATTTCTCCCAATACTTTATCTAGGAGTTCCCTTGTCTTCTGGATTAGGTTCAAAATTACAAGGCTATGGAGTTGAACATTAGTAGTCGTAAGCCCAAAAATTGGGTCCCCTGTTCAACGACGGTTATAAAAATAAAATAAAATATAAAAATAACAAAAATGGTGACTCCATAGCCGAGTGATACAGCCATCCTATTAATCACTCTGAAGCCTGAAGGTAGTGGGTTCGAACCCCGTCGTTACCCTTTTTCTGCCCCTATCTAATTTGTGCTTTCTTTTATTATGTTTATAAGCCGTACTTTGTATGGAACACATAATCCTGTTTAAGAATGGAATTAAATATGTATATATATATATATATATAGATATATTGTGTGTATAATATAATATGTGTATATATATTTTATAGATGATGGTGTTTGCACAGTATTTGGTGATCCCCACTATCGAACGTTTGATGGAAAAATTTTCAACTATCAAGGATCGTGTAAATATGTCCTGAGCAAAGATTGCATTAACCGATCATTTTCCGTTGAAGTTTTAAATGAAGCTCGCTTCTCCAAGTCATTCTCGTGGACAAAATCAGTTACTATAAAGGTCAGTATCTCGAACTTGTTGAATGTGTCTTTGGAATAACATGAGAGCTATAATTAAATTTTCCTGTCTGCAATTTACTAATATTTTTTCAAAAAAATATCGAAAATTAAAACACACATATATATATATTGGATATGTGTTTTTTATTATAAATGGAGCTGACTTCTTTTTTGCAGTAAAATCCTTTAATTTTAATAGATTATTTTAATGATCTAAAATTTTCTTTCTTTATAGGTAAATGGAACGAAAATAAGGCTCGGTCAATACATGAAAATACATGTAAATCACAAGCCTGTAAAATTACCTTATATAGAATTGGGAGTGTTAACAGTTTTTCAAGAAGATCGCAATGTTCTGGTTCGAACTAATCTTGGTACGCTTTAAACTTTCTATTTTTAGTTTTTTTAAGATTTTCTTTGTAGAATTTTTTTAATGATAAATAATGCATCATCAAATTAAATAACAATAAATATTTATGAAAATAATCTTTTTAATGGATTTATCTTTACATATCTTTATTACTATATAATCCTTAATTATTTAATAATTAAATAATTAATGAAACATGGGGAAAGAAGCAAAAAGGGCAATTGTCATTACGGGGTCCAAACTTCCAACCTCTCTCTTGACCTAACTATTGAGATCGAAAAAAGTCATGCTTGTTCACAATAAGTATTTGGTTTCATAACTTAAAAGTCATCTGCACAAATATCGTCTATCATTTTTTGAACTATTTAGATTGCATATCAGTGTTCGAAAATCCATCATTAAATAAGAAGTTATTCAAGTACTCGTTTTTTTTTTTTTTTTTTTTTTTTTTTTTTTTTTTTTTTTTTTNTTTTTTTTTTTTTTTCTTGCCGTGTATACTTGAGTGTTCAACTGATATTAATTAAATTGCGTCTATTTAAAAAATCATGCACATTTATTATGCATGGCTTTTTGAATTTAAATAACCTTCTTTCTAGAACATTTAAATTAAATGTTATTTTCTCTGATTTTTTCTGCCAAAGGTATGAAAGTTTTGTGGGATGGCAACAGCTATTTGGAGGTATCTGTGCCATCTTTTTACAAGGACACACTTTGTGGACTGTGCGGAAATTACAACGGGGATGAAAAGGATGACTTTAAAACGAAGAATGGAAGACTAGTGAGAACTGCCGAAGACTTTGGAAATTCATGGAGAGTAAGTTCTTTTTACTAGCAGATAATTTATTATTAGTATTTACTTACTTAATGTAAATTTAGAACATTCTGCTTATTGCTGTAGAAATTACCGGAGTTTGTTCTTTTTACTGACATAAATTTATTATTTGCTTAGTTTTTGTAAATTTATAACATTCTGTCGAAGATTTTTGAACTTCCTGAAAAGTAGGTTTCCTTTACATACATAATTAATTTATAATTTACTTGAAAAGTAGGTTCTTTTTACTTACATAAATAATTTATAATTTACTTGAAAAGTAGGTTCCTTTTACTTACATAATTAATTTATAATTTATTTGAAAAGTGGGTTCCCTTTACACTTATAATTCATTTATAATTTACTTGAAAAGTAAGTTCCCTTTACTTACATAATTCATTTATAATTTACTTGAAAAGTAAGTTCCCCTTGCTTAGATAATTAATGTATAATTTTCTTACAAATTAGGTTCACTTTACATACATAATTAATTTATAATTTACTTGAAAAGTAGGTTCCCTTTACTTACATAATTCCCTTATAATTTACTTAGCATATATAAATTTAACACTCATGAATCTGTAAGCTCCTTCAATTTAAAACTATCATAAAAAGTGGCAATATGAACCCTCTATCTTCTACCATCACTCCAGCCGATTTCCATTTTAGTTGTCTCAAACAGCATTAGCCATCTCGATCTCACTATCTTTGAATTCCCACACTGCTCAGGTACTTTTTCTGATTATTTAATCATCTTGTACGTGGTCTATTTCTTTTTCCTTCTGGCGCTTGAAAAGTTAATTTTTGTTACCTGGTTATCATTGCCATATTTATAGGCACGACTAATCTATCTCATTTGTTGGATTTCAATAATTTGTATTTAATTTTCTGAATTTATTGTGTGACTAAAAGTTGTGTTTTATTCTCCTCACATTATTCTCCTTTACTGCCCCAAGATTTCTTCTCAAGATCTTTCGTTCAAATATATATGTAAACCATTTTCTTCTGATTTATTCATTGTCCAGCGGTCACTTTCATATAAAACTATTGATCTTACTAAGGTCTTATATCGATTTATTTTTGTTTCCTGGCTCAAGTAGTTTGGGTTCGAACTGTCCTGTTAGTCCAAAATAGCATCTATTAGCCATATTTAATCTGTTTTTAATATCTGTTTTAATGCTAATATTGTTTACTATCCATTAATGTCATTGTTGAACCATCTATACGTATAGTAATGCGAGTCTCCTTAACATATCCGTGTCCAACAGTTCATTTTTAGGAAGGATTCTAAAAGGGCATCATAAGCTAAAAGGATATTTTTTGCTATTAATTGTTTTGACGTGTTATTTTCATTTAAATTTCATGAAGAAAACGTATCAAGCGTACTGTTAATAGTCTTTTATTTCTTTAAAAAAGAAATTGACTCGAATTTTTCACATTGTCCAGAAAAAAATTGCCATCTTTAACTATGGAATGAGAAATTGCTCTGACACGCTGGCGTGTCAGCCGGTTGATTAGAGATTTCCATGTTAGCTACTGTTTAGATTGCAAGAGGGTAGATGTGCTGTTAGTAATAACCCACCACCGTTCCACTCTTCTCAACCGTAGATTTTCTAGCTCTCAACCGATTTTCAACCGTAGATTTTCTAGCTCTTGAACCATCTAATGCATTACATTACAGTGGGTACCGAAACACTAAGACAAGATCGAAAGTGCAGTCGGATCAGACATCCGGAATTTAGCATAGTGTATCAAACCCCAGTCCGAACTGAACATGCGAATCGAAATCCACCACATCGACTGAGTGGCTTTGATACGGAATGTCACTACAGTACCAGCAGAGCCGTGATGCCTCAGGTTATAGAGCGTTCGCCTTCCAATGAGGTGAACCGGGTTCGAATCCCCCCGATGGCTGTCGATACGAATCCGCATTCGGCTTGCACCGACCACTATGCTGACGTGAAATATCCTCAGTGGTAGACGAATCATGAGTTAGAGTCTCTTTACCGTCAGGCTAACCGTGGGAGGTTATCGTGGTCTTCCTTTCCATGTAACGCAAATGAGGGTTAGTTCCATCAAAAAGTCCTCCACAAAGGCAAATGTCTTCCAATGCTTGATCCAGGAGTTTCCTTGTCTTCTAGATTGGGTTCAAAACTACAAAGCTATGAAATTGAACATTAGTAGTTGTAAACCCAAAAATTGGATCGGCTGTTCAACGACGATTATAAAAATATAAAATAAAATAGTACTACCAATAATTTGCCTTCTCGAAATGTCCTTGATCAATAAAGATACCAAAAAAAGTTATATATCATTTCTAATTTCATATCTATAAATGAAAAACATGTACAAGGATGGAATAAATAACAAATATTTTGTTACTTGCAGGTTGGAAAAATGAAACGCTGTATCATGTCACAACCTACATCTACAAACACCTCGAGATACTTGAGTCCTGATGCTCGTGTAAGAATCATTAGAGAATGTAATGTCCTCAAATCATCTGTATTCAAACCTTGTCATAAGACTGTCAGTGCTGTTGACTATTACAAGTAAGTTATGCACATATTGTCTGTTATACTGATCATTTGATCTTTTTGTCTCAAAATAAACTAAGTTTCAGTTTTCGTCTTATTAAAATATATTTGTATTAAAATTTATAAAAAGAAAAGCATTCAGCAAAATAGGACCTACTTATAACGATTCCATGTTTAACGAGCTTCTGAATTATTGAGGAAAATTGTATCTTTTGTTTGGTATAATTTTATTGAAAATTAATCATTAAGCACCTTGATCCATTAAGACAAATTTGCATACGATTACAAGCTCACCGGTGACAGCTGCCAGTACTGGTGACCGGTGACCATCAGAGCATCAAGCAATGCGGACTCATAGGCACAAAGGTTCGAACCACGCACAACAAGGGAACCTTAAATATTTTCTAGGATCACTTTAAATAATTGAGATTCATTTTGAAATCAAGAGGGAAGATAACATAGCGATAATTTTGAGATTCCTCCGTGTAAAAATACCTCATCAATGACTCCATGCTAAGTCTACAAAGAAATTTTTATTTGGTCTCTTTTCGGTAAATTTTGGCTCTAAGCCAAACACAAATTCTTACCCATTTGTCGTAACTTTCTTAGTACTGTAGACAAACCTTCTGGTGTTGTTTTAGATTAATTATTTCAACACTTCTAACAATAATTTGACATCGAACGAGCTAATGATGGCGGATTTTAAATTTAACGTAAACATATGAGTTATAAATATCCTGTTTCATGTATCATGCCTTTTTTTCAACTATTTCAGGTCTTGTTTCTTGGATGCTGGGGAGTGCCGACCTAGGGACAGATGCTACTGTCAATCACTGACGGCATACGCACGACAGTGTACCCGAGCCGGCTTAGAATTAGGGAACTGGAGGACAACAACAGGATGCGATGGTAAAAAAATAGCTTTTTTTTAAATTTTAACTGATAAAAACGTATTTTGAACGATGTATTAAACCGTTCTCATGTTGTGAAGATAAATAATACAATAATGGGACAATTTTCCTAAAATCACCTCCGACAGTCTTTGTTCAAATAACTCGATTTTTAATAATTCTTAGAAATTTAAATTATTTAAAAAAAATTAGAAACTGGCTGTCATAGACAAGTTTTGAGTTACCTCCGTAACACTCAGTTTTTAATTTATAGAACAAGTAAAATATTAATAATAATTAAATTACGTTATAAGAACTATCAAACAACACAAAACAAGTTTTTGTGAGCCATAAAATAAAACAGGAAAACACATCCTATCTATCGGAAAAGTCCGTAAGAGACATTTGAATTTACCCCGCATCTAAAGGTAGCATTAACATGAAGAAGAAAAAATCTATCACATTGCATGTGTTACCATACTACAAAATTCATAGCCGTTTCGATTTTTTTCCCCTTTAGAACAAGAACAATTATTATTTTGAATTTTATAACGTTTTCTGAAGCTTAAGAATCCATGAGATCATATCCATTATCTAGTACCAGGCACGTACTTTGTATTTAAAAAGCTTTTAATCACTTTCCTTTGTATTCTGTAATCAGAAGCTCTTAATCACTTTTCCTATGATCAAAAGTTCTTTAATATTTCATATTTTCCAAACAAAAGCTTCAGACCACTTTCATTTGTATCCTTTAATCAAAACCTCACAATCGCTTTCTTTAGAATCCTGTGACCAAAAGCTCCAAAACACTTCGTATTCTCGAATCAAAAGCTCTTATTAGTTCTCTGTATTCTGTGATCAAAACCTCTCAATCACTTCGTATTCTCTTATGGACCTCAATCACTTTCTTTCGTAAACTTTTGATCTTTAGCAATGTTATATTTCATAATAAATCGTAATGCAGATTTGAAACTTTTTAGGTATGCGTTGTGGCAACGGTCAGCAGTACATGAATTGCGCCCCAACGTGCCGCAGGACGTGCAAAAAGCCAAAAAGAGACAAGTCTTGCAGAAAGCATTGTCGTCCAGGCTGTTACTGTCCTCCTGGTACAGTGTGGCATAGAAAGCAATGCATACCTGTGGATGATTGCCCTTCCTAGAGAAAACAGTCTATGGCTTCAGACTGCTTCTGTGAAGTAGTTAGTTACGTCATTTAACTACAAAATTAGAAACTGAATCGCTGGACGAGCAACGCCCGAACTCTTCAACAAAAAAACATATATTTTCCTCAGTTTTATATTTTAAATCGAACTGTTTGAGCAGGAAAATATGCTAGATATCGACTGTATCTCGAAATTATATGATGGTATAGAAACAGAACTGAAATTTTGTTGCTTTCTCATCAGTAGCAACGATGGCATAAGTATGATAGTATACGAATTAATTATGCGAGAGAACGGAACAATATGTCTCACTCTGCGTTTCATTTGACTTTTTTTCATACCTGGTCTAAACGTAATGTTAGCGGAAATTGAAAATGCATTGCTTGGCACTGTTTCAGTACATCATGTGTTGTGTTGATTGAAAATCGTGTTAAGTTGCACTTAAAAATGATTTAAGAAAGCTGTCAAACATTTAAGTGTGATTGTCTTTTCATATTTAAGTGTAGAAAAAGTGTGCATTCATATTTTCTGTAGGATGTAAGCCTAACATCATAGTTTTACACAACTTACACTCTGTTGTAGTTGTATCAATTAAAGATTCTGCTAAATTGCAATTAAAAGTTTTAAAAAAAATTAACTTTTTATATTTAAGTGCAGGAAAAATTGGATTTATATTTTTTTTGTTGGAAATAAGCTTTTGCATTTCACAGTTTATGCAACTTGCAAACTTTTGTTGCAGTACAGATAGAAGATTATGTTGAGCAGAGATTTAAAATAACTGTCATAAATTATTACAATTATTAATAAATATACATATATAATAAATATACAATTAATAAATATACAATTATAATTCTATATCAAAGTATAAAAAAAACTTCGCGTTCATATATATTTTTTTAGGAAATGAGCTATAATTAAAGTAGTTAGCGATCGAACTGAAACAGATTGAAACTTCAATCTTAAAATCGATTGAAGTTTGTATCAATGAGAAATTTAGAATAACTCTCAATTATTATGTCATCTTTTTTAAAGTTTAAAAAAATAAGCGTTAACATATATATATATATATATATATCTTTTCTGAGTCCATAAAAAAAAGATATGTTNATATAGGAAATAAGCTATAATTAGATTAAAATTGAATTGAAATAGATTGAAACTTCAATCTCAAATTAGGTTAAAGCCTGTGTTAAGTAGAAGTTTTTAATAAAAATTTAATCATTACGATTGTTGGGAAGTTAAATTGAGTCTCAATTAAAAAAAAATAATTTAAAAAGCTGTCAATTATTATCTTGAGAAATGCACTTTTTTTATGTACATATTTATGACTGAGTCAAAAAAAATAGTGCGTTTTTATTTTATTTAGTAAATAATCTACAATTACTCTTTATATAATTCTTATACAAAATAACGAAACTAATAAGATTTTTGCTGAGATATTTTCTTACCCTCAAGACTGTTTCAATCTTTAAAAAAAAAAAACGCACTTAAAAAGATAATGAATGAAGTTTATAAAAAAAGTCTTCGTTCGCATTGGAATTTCAATAAGCGATTTTAAGTTTTGTTTTTCAGTAAAGTAAGGCCGATTACGATACTTTTTTGAGTAACAAATAATTTTTAAACAATACTATAATAATTGTGCGATTTTGCCAATTTTGAAACGTATCTGAAATAAAATTTGAATGTCAATTTTTTTTCTCGCTGTACATTAGAAGTCTTAAAAGCTTTGAATTATTAAGAGTTGATTATAATTTATAATTAAAAAACAAATAAATGTAACATTTTCTATACAGTTATATAATTCCTTTTTTAGCAAATAACTATGTAACTTCATGAAGGTAGATAAATCAGTAAATAAAAGGGGAAAAAATCATTTTTTCACCCCTTCTTGAAAAACAAAAACTATACACATATGCACGTGAGCTAGTGCTTAAGTAGGTAACAAACAATATGCCTTATAGAGTTTAATTTATTTCATTCTTCTTTTTTTCTTTTTTTTTTACAGTCCTTTTCTAGTAAGCGAGCATATTTTTTAAGAAGACTTATGAATCATTACGTGAAGAAAAAAACTTTTTTTTGGACTTGATAAAATGAAAAATATTATCTAGTTCAGCGGTTTCCAAAAGGTGTTCCGAGAGTTAAGAACTTATTTTTTCAACTATGATTTTCAAAACTTGGTATTAAATTTAAATCCAATATTTATCCATTATTTATTTAATATTTCCGTTATTTTTATTAAATTATTTAATTAAAGGCTTGAAAATAACGAAAATTCACAACAGTGTTCTTTTTTCTAATAACAAAATTGAGAATGAATTACGAAAAGGATATGAAAAATTGCATTAGTATTTCGCATCGAATAAAAATAACAAATTTCAAACATGAAGAAATACATATATGTTTCTCTGGTAAATATTCTCAACGTTTATTTGCGTCCGTTTACATTTTTATTTTTGTTTCAGTTCATTCATTTTCACTTTATGCATGCATAAAAATCAAATTAGGAACTAGACCGCTCCAGTTTCGTAAATTCAAATGTAAGACATAAAACCTAATTTTTTAGATTAATATTAATAAAAAGATATGATGAAAAAATTTCATTCATCATTCATTCACTGATCATTTTCAAAATAATTAATAAAATTTAGATCAGTACATATTTTCAAAAAAATTAATTGCATTTCGTTAATTAATATGTTTTACGATTACTCATGAAATTTATTAATTAAATCTCGGAATTCCGCTAAAAGAAATTCAATCATTTAGGGTTTGCACTGACGAAAAAGATTAGGTACCGCTGATCTAATGTATCAATTCAGTATCAAGATTCATTTACATAAAAGTTCACTTACAATTTTATTCCAGCAAACATACAGACCCTAGCCAAATTATTAGACACACTATAAGATTCTATGTAAAATTTTAATTATCAGGTGATACTATACAACTTTATTGTTTTTACTCGGCTGAAACCGGTTTGCACTTGTTTACGTTCGTGTATCAATTGGTTTACATTGTAATGCAATACGTTAACAATAAATACAAATAGGGGGTATATAAAAAATCTCCTCTATAAAAACCCATGACATGTATGTTTAAATATAAAAGTACTGCATATAAACTCGTGTAAAACATGTAATCGTTAAAAAACTACAGTACGTCTAATAATTTTGTCTAATTATCATAATATACTAACATAATACCTTATATAATAAATATTCTATATTTTTTTAATATATCGTCTAATTTATCCAATCATTGAATTTATATTATACATCGTCCAATTTAAGCAATTGATACACGAACGTAAACTAGTGCAAACCGGTTTCAGTCGGGTAAAAACAATAAAGCTGTATAATATCACATGATAATTAAGATTTTACATGGAATCTTATAGCGCGTCTAATAATTTGGCCTGGTTCTCTTTAAAAAGAAAAAATAATTAGGATTTATTTTCAAACAATTTAAATTCAATGGACTTAAAAGACATGTATGAAATGATACAGATAAATGACAAATATGCTTTCATGTGCATGTGTAGAACTTTATTTCTCCAGCTGGTCTGGATGCTTCATTTGTATTAGTGGAAAAGAATTATATTGATCTCTGTGTTATAACATTAAAAAAAATTGCAGCATGTCTTAATTTGCAATTAGATGTGTTTATGATTTTGTGTGTAATCATTTCATTTTAGTCACATTGTTGTGAAGAATTTGTCTATAAATTTGTCATTTGTCACTTTTAAGTTTCAGTTCATATTATTTTCCTTTATCAAATATGTGATCGTTTTATTATTTGTAACGTCAATCATTATTTGCATTATTTATTTTTCTTACTGCATTATTTAGCTTTGTACAAATAAATACTTCTAAGAGCTTGAGATTTTCTTTATTTAGCTTATTTAGTTATTTATTACTTTATTTAGTTTAGATTTTTCGTTTAAAGATTCTATTAAAAAATTATTTTGGTTGGCATTGCTTGAAATTCAAATCTATACAAATAAAATCATAATAATAATAATATATATATATATATATATACATATNTAGTAGAATATTATTTTTTACAAATAATATTCTACTGAAGTTTGCTACAGTTAATGATTGTTCAGTCAAATTTAGCCAATCTATAGCCAGCACCCTCTATACTTGTTCTAAAAATAGCGCAAAACATCAATATGGAGAAAAGCTACAGTTTTAAGAAAATAAAAGGCGTTTATAATATAATTGTTTAATATTTAAAAACTTTACTTCCTCGCTACATTACCTCGGGGCTCATAAAAATTTGCAAAATATAAGGCATTGATTTTTAAAATTTTCATCTAGGTTGAAAAAATGTCGCCTAATTTTTAAAAAAGTTTTATAACTTTTAAAATGTTTTAGTTATTTGCCCGTTCTAAGGCCCAGATAATTCTTTACAACAAGATGGCATATATAGTCAGTGGTTAATTTACTTCAAGTGTAATTCACTTTCCTTGGCAAAACACAACGCTGAAAATATTTTTTGGTGCATTTTTACAATGCTATTATTTTTGTAAAAGTATAATTGGATTTTTAATTACAATGAAAAATTATCAGATGGATAAGAAATTAGATTCCAGTTACCTCTTGAACAGTTTTATGGCATATAAAAATATAATATCATTTGAGTCGTTTGGATTTTGCCTCTCATGATTAAAATGTGAAAACTCACTATAAAGACATCCCACAATATTCAGAAATGTATTATTTTTTTTACATAGTAATTAAAAATAACTACATATTTTGATATAAGAAAAAGTTACAGCATCTAAAACTGCATATTTCTCAGTAAAATTCCTTTTTTTGGCCGTTTTTTAATGCTTGAGTCTCAAGAGGCTAATAAGGTGCAAAAAAAAAGAGGATAAAAAGTCTAAGGATAATTCAATCACGAGTTCCTTAATTATTCATAAATTAAAAGAATAAGTGGCCTATTACAAGACATGAAAAATAGATCCTTAATTAATCACAAATCACCAAAGAACATAATCCAGAATATGGTAGATTGCTATTTAGAAGTAGACCCTCAATAATAAGGTGTAACGAGAATAAGGCGTATCATCTAAGGCACTCTTTGCTTTACAGAGTAAAAACACATCTCTTGACAAAAATAATACAAAGGGAAAAGTAATTGCAACATAAATTGTATCACGAGAGGAGCAAGATTTTTGCATATCTGCATCGAAATCAAGCAAATTATGCGTATTTTGAATACAGATTGATCTTAAGTATGTTTAAAATACATCTTATTTTAGACTGATAATATAAATTTTATATTACGTGTACTATTAAGCTATTGGGAAATTACTAACTTGAATTTGGGTCTACGGTCTACTGCAAAATCTGTTAGAGAAACCTGTCTCCCCCCCCCCTATTTAATTAGACAGAAAACCCACGGAGAAGTTTTAATACAAATTTAACTAAATAGCTTAATAATTAAAAAAGCTTTCTAAGATAAAAAAATATACATAGTGTGATTCTAAAATCATGGGGCATACTTGGAGAGAAGGCAGGGCACATTACCCATAAACAGAAATAACATTGTGCGCCGCTGGGGGGTGTTTCCCTATAATGAACTGTTTCCATGTGTGCCTTTGAAAAAGTACTTTTATTTCTAAATTTCACCTTAATTTTATGTTTTCCAATAACTATTGTCGAAAATTGCATTCAAATAGATGCAGAATTAGCCGTTTATATCATAATGCAATGATTTGGTGAGCTTGTCAAATTAGTAACTAAATGATTAAATTAAGATTAAAAATCTAATACTGAACCAACTTAAATGCAATATTAGACAATAATTATAAGTAAAGATAAAATTAAGATAATTTAGATAAATAAAAGCACCTGCTTATGCGTAGAAACAGTTTAAAATAGGGAAGCACTTTTAGTGGCGTACGATGAAATTTCTGGTCATGGGTTTCTATGTAATTCTGTAATCCTTATAATGTGAACTACCTTACCTACAAGTCTGTCTAATGATTTTTATATCACCCGGTATTATAATAATAGAATTTAGAATATTCCATTACTTATTAATCGAATGACAAAACAGACATACAAGCAAAAAGCAATGCAAGTATACAATATTTATTATTAATTCATAGCACATCATACATGTATGAAAAAGGAACCTTATGTAGTTTCAATAACATTATAGTGGTTGCACAAAAAGATCTTAAGCATAAAGTACAAAACACAAAGAATATCATTTAAAAAGAAAAAAGTAACTATTAATAACTGTTGACCTTAAAAATATAGGACTCCATTTTAAAATGCTAAGTGCAAATGCTGATCAGTGAAAATTTTGACTTGTCATTTACGGACCAATTGTCCAGCTAAACCATTGCAGCATGCAATCTGTTAGTTAAATAAACTAAAAAATTATCAATCACTGATTAGCTAAATTATTCTAAATATTTTAGTTCCAACTAATTTACTTTATTATCATGTTCAAACTTAACAATCCAAAAATTTTGAATAAATATACTTTTTGTTTAATAAAATAAAAAGTTGAGTGTAATTTTGAGTGCATAAATGAGTTAGCATATTTGACTAGAGTCCCTTTAAGTAGAGAATTTGACTACCAAAATATAGCCTTTTAACCCCTTCTGGTAAAACCATCAGCTTAGATCCTCGTTGGTTTTTCAAACAATATAGCACATTTTACTTATCAAGCAACTAAAGTTACTGTTAAATATGATAATAAATTAGGTTTCAAATTTCTAGTTTACTGAATCTTTTTTTTGTCACTTTTAAGGTTTTTTTTAATAAAAATTAAATATTTATTTCATACACATATTTTCCTTATTAAATCTTAGATAAAGGGGTTTATATTAGAGAGAAGGATCACGATTTTATTGATCTTGTTAATATAAATGAAGGGCATCAAGCAATTTAGCAATAAGCCACAATTATTACAAAATGTTACATTTTTACATTAAAATGTCTCAAAGTATTTAACAGATAAATAGGTATTTTATAAATCCCCAGAATTTTCACTAGACAAGGGCACAATGCATGCAAAAATCTTATTACCCGAAGGTAAAGCATGATGCTTTCCGCCAATAACGCTCTGAAATAAATTCAGAGAAATAAATAATTTAATTAAATTCAGCTCTCAGAACAATTTTAAAATGTGGCTTATGCTAAAATTGTCCTACATATGTAAAAAAAAAATTGAAAGTTAGGAAGATTATGAGATTTTCACAACAGCATGCACTAAAATTTCATAAATTTAAAACAAATTATTCTTACAATTCATTGCAATAAAAAAAACTATTTTTTTAAAAAGATATACAGCTACAGTTAGAACAATTATAATATATTTAAACACAAATGTTACACTATTTCAGTTCTAATAATAATATAATTTACTAATTAATATCAATCTAACAAAATAGTTTTGGTACTTGAAGTTTATGTTTATGACAAAACGAATATTTTCAGAGAAGCTAAATTTAAATTTACTGATTACTAATTAATTACACATTATCCAACTTTTTGTTGTGATTTAACAAATGACTTATTCTTAAAATAATTTGAGGATATCACATAAAGCACATCAAATCAAAAAATCAAATGAAATGTTTTACACAAAATAAATCACACAGGCAAAAATATAGTTTATACCTTTTAGATTGCCAGATTTATTATTCATTATAATTAAATTCTCATAAACTATAATAATATATGAATAAATTATATTCTAATTAACTACTTTACTTTCACCAATCTATTAGCTACCAATTATATATAAAAACAAGTATTTCAAACCTGCCAATTTAAGAAAACAAAATCAAATTAAACCAATTCAACAACTAAGCTCACCGGTCAAATAATAAGTCACTCCTAGAGAAATTGTGAAAAGATATGTGAAGCTAAAGATATGTCTGTGATGTTTTGAGTGTTTTTCTTGTTATGAATGGGCCAGCTCAGTAAGAGGACTTCTTACATTAACCAACATGTTTATTGTAACATTCTGCGTAACCTATGGTCTTCTTCTTCATGACAAATATGGTGTTGATTCCCTTATTTTTTTTCAAGATGATAACAACTAAGTTCATACAGGTGGAAGTATATGTGACTAGTTTAATGAAAACTCATGCACAATATTATAAAATGCTGAAATCAGGTGAATTTGTTCAATCAAATTCTCTGCTAATGGCTTAAATTAAATGTAACATTCTTACTAAGCCTTGTGCACTCACTTCCTAACCAAATCTAAGCGGTTGATAAGTGCAGAGGCGAAGTTACATGTTATTAAATTATGCTTTTCATGAGTTCTCACGAGGTGACTATTTTTCTGTTCGGTGAGTTTATAAACAGCAGGTAATTCATTAATTCACCTTAATTAAGAATAAATGTTTAAACACGAATTTTGGAAAGACTTTATAAACTAAGTTTAAAAATTTCACAACACCAGCCATAGACTTATTAAGTCTATCATGCTAAATTTGTTATCGATCAATAGCTGCACATAATATATATATTAGAAAAAATTAATAAAATAAGTACTAATACAGTAAAATACAACAAACATACTAATAGAAGAACGTATATCCAATATGATCCATTAAAATAATTTTTTTTAAAAATTTTTTTTAAAGGAATCAGTCCAAATTGAATCTATCAATTAGTTTTCTCAAGTAGTTGAAATGATTTTACACATTTTCTACAATGTAACAAAATAAATATCACATTATAAACTAGTGAATTTTAAATGCATGTCATTTATATTAAAACACAATAAAAATACAAAATAAGTTTAAAAAAACACACTATGTTTACTTTCACTAGAATTGTAATTTATTATAAATAGCTGCAATTTGATATTCTAATTTCCAGTAATAAGGTAAAAATATTTCATACAGATTTTTTTCTTTTGCACAAAGAACTATTCTCTGCTAAATTTTCAATCATATTCTAACAACAACAAAAAAGTACAACAATACTACATTTAATTTTTCCTAATAAAATGATCAGTGTACGAACTAAATTTGAAAAAACTATTTTTATTTTTAAACTATATAATTAATTAATTAATTAAAGAGTATATTCCCTTCTTTACATATCTAAATTCACTTAATAATTTATAAGGGGGGTACAAATTTAGATGTTATAGCTAAAAATAGAATCCCTATATCTAATGTACTTAAAAAGTTACGGCATATGAGAACAGTCTGTGATTGGTTGAAAACCAAAGTTAAAAAATAAAATAAAAAAATTATAAACTTAGCATGGAGGGGTGGACAAGGTATTTTTATTTGCCAAAATTTAAAAATTATAGATACGTATTTTTTTGTTTTTGCTTTCACAATTAATGTTTTCACAATGAAAAGTATCCATTGAATAATATTAATTAAGCATATATTTTGTGAAATAATTAGATTTTAAAAAATATCACAGCTATACTTCGCTCTTTTATTAAATTATTGATTTTATTATCTGCATAATAAACTGTTAACTATCTGACAAAACTTTTATTTCCTTGCTAAAAAGCAATTACCAGCAGAAAATGTTTCAAACAAACTAAAAATAAAGTTATATTTTTATATTTAAAGAGCTTAATCAGTTCATCAATAGTTTATGCAACTTTGGTGTAGTTTGACATGACCTAAAAACCGAAAAGTGACTTTGATGTAGAGTAAAAAAGTGAGATTTGAGTGTAACTTCAAATGTGTGGTAACTAACTCCAATATCTTTTTCTTTAAGACAGCTCTGAAGTTGCTTATTGTAATTTTCTAATTACATTAGATATAGGGACTCTAGCTACAAATGATGTACTACGTAACAAGCATTAAACATTTTTAATGGTGCTTTTTTCTGATGTTCAAAAAAAAAAATTTCAGTACAAAAACAATTTAATTGTCATATAAAAAATAATTCGATACGAATTTTGTTTTAAATATATTTTAGATAGTCAACTTGGAGTATATACTAATATTTGTTTTCGGAAAGCTTGAGAAAGACACAGAAATAAACATTCTCTATTTGAAATAAAGTAACATATATCAGATCCTATTATATACAAAATAAAAGAAAATTCCACACAAGTCTTTTTAATAATAAAATACAAGGGGCTAAAAGAACGGAAATAGAAATGCACACATTGGAAAAGTAAAACAGAACAAAAAAAATATTTCCAAAATATTCATAAAACATATTTGTTCGTCATTATTAGCATATAAAATATCACAATTGTCAAAAAGAAATAGGCAAGTTATTGCACATTATTTTTTTGTATTCATAGTATACAACTTCAATTTTAGACTTTTAAAAATATAAATTTTTGTTTACGACTCTATAAATGTTCTAAATAAATTATTATGTAAGTTTATCATACCATTAGAAATTATTTTTATTATTGTTAATGCATTTCACAGTTACAAAACATTTAAAACATATACAAACATCAACTATAATAAAAATTTAAATCTATGTACAAAAGACAATATTTTTTACAATAAAACGTGAATTCAACTTTACATATTTTTTTATTATTCTTACATCAGCCAGATTATTTTGTTGGATGTTTTCATCAATTAAATAATGGTAAGTTATAAAAATTATACCCTCGGCGACCTTTGACGGCACAATAAACGTAAACCACGTGATAAGCTGAAATAAAAAATAAATAAAAATATATTATTTTAAAACAATCCTTTAAAATAAATTATTATTTTAACTTTAATTTCAAATTTATTATTAAAATTATTATATTTTTATTAGTTTTATGATACAAATAACCAAATTAAAAATCTTTAGTAAATTAAATATTGCACTGAAGCATGTCAATAAAAATAAATAATAATTTATTCATATATTGTTATCAGTTATTATTTTTCTTCTCAGACTAGCTTTAAGAGATATAATTTACTTTAACAATAAGATAACTCTAAATTTTATGATCGTATTATAAAATTATTTAAGTTTTTTATGATTTTATGATAAAAATTATTGATTATAAATTATTTATAAAATTATTTTATTAATAAAAATTACTATATTTGTATTAGTTTTATGACAAAAATAACTAAATTAAAAATCTTTAGTAAATTAAATATTTCCCTAAAGCATGTCAAAAAAAAAAAATAATAATTTATTCATATATTGTAATCAGTTATTATTTTTCTTCTCAGACCAGTTTTAAAAGATATAATTTATTTTAACAATAAGATAACTCTTACTTTTATGATTTTATTATAAAATTATTTAAGCTCAAAATATAATATATTATGCATTGTGAAATAGAGTAAAATTTAAAATATTGTTTTAACTATATGTAAAGTCAAATTCATTTATTAAGAGAATGTAGAAAGGAAACAATTTACCGTTTAAACCAGTTTCCCAAAATTATCAGGAAATCAAAACAGCTGTTGTGTAAAAAAGTCATGGAAATAGTTGATTTATAATAGTTTTTTACTTACGCTAACTCTAAGAACTTTTAAGTGTAGTGATTGAACCTTGTCTATATTTCAACTTACAACACACATGGAGTTTTCTTATTCTCTTTCTCTGATAGCTTTAATAATTTTCAAGAAGTTTGGAAAAATTCCTCATCAAATCTCAATTTATAATTCTAATAACAGGGTCTTATATTGGCTTTTAATCTATAAGCCAACTATTTAGCAAAAATTTTCTTGTGAAGCCTATGATCTCATTAAATGCAAGGTTAGTATTGAACAGTTTGTTAGTATAAGTATTTTATATAAAAAAACATATTTTTTTAAATTTTAGAAAAGAGGTTGATATGAAATTTTTCTAGGTATCTCTCTGGTTGAAATTGAGGCCCTCCTTCTAGAAATAGTGCAAAAAAGTTACTTACAATAGATGTCTACCACTAAATACTTACAAGCAGGCATAATTTATTATTTTTAACCACTTTTTTAACCACATTTTTATAAGGAATGTTATGTTTCAGCTCAGGTTTTACCTCAAATTATAATTAGTATTAACAATTACTTTTATTTAAAAAAATATGTCGAAAAAAGATGTTTCTTTAAAAAGAAAATAACAGTAATATTACCTCCAGGTATAAAACAAATAGCTCCAGCAATAAAGAAAACAAAACTCTGAACACCTAAAATAAATTACAACATTAGTTTAGAATTATTACAAAATTTAAAAAGGTACAGTAAAAATCGAGCATATATGATGTGACAAATTATTTTACAGAATGTTATTTCTCAACATTTCAACATTATAAACAAAAGAATGAATTAAAAAGCTTATATAAATTTAGAAATAGTAATCTAGTCATAAAAACTATTTATCCTTAAATTAAATACATATTTGATAAAACTTAAATCAAACAATAAAAGATAAAAAGAAATTTATCATCATTAAAGATAATAGATATTTGATGATTAAAAAATTCCAGGTTTGAGACAGCAACTTTTCAATTAGAAACCTGAATAATTTCAATTTTTCTATAAACAGGAAGAAAAAAAATTAGCAATTGAAGTGATGAATCTTAATGTAAAATAATGATTTTAATATAAATCACTAAAAATATTTACGAAAAAAAATTATTATACACATATAAGTTAATAAATTCAATCTCATTTTTAAATTAATCAAAATAAAATGCCTACCCATTTCTGGCATGATTAGTACAACAAATCCAGTTACTAATAGACCTAAAATATAAAGTATTGTTCTGTGTTATTTTTATAAAATATTATACACAATTTCCAGTGTTTTCATCATAGAAAAAAAATGGGTGAGAATTTCTCACCCTTTCTAAAAAACAGGGTGAGATTTCAAAAAGTTCAGGGAGATTTCTAAAAACTAAAAAAAACACGAACTCTTGAAAAAAAATCATTTCTTTAATTTTAATACATTTTTAACGTCTTCTATTTTTTAAAGCATTGAATATTTTTGATACATCATCATAGGAAATTTTGCCTTTACAAGGTATTTGTCCAAATTACATGAGTGCATAAAAAATTTGAACGTCTTACACGAAGAAACCTTACCTACGGTAAACACGTGGTTGCAGAGAAATGTGTTCTCAAAGGGGTTCTGTTGTTCGAAAAGGTTCTGAACAATACTGGTAAATAGGGAAGCTAGATAATGGAGCATATTTTAAAATAATGAAAGATCCAGGAAGAAAAGTGAAACGGATTTTATTCTAAATGACGTAATTCAAAGCTTTTTCAAAAATGCGAGAAATTCGCTAATTTTGAAATTGATTTATAGAATGCGTGAATTTCTCGCGGTAATCATTTTTTAATGCGAGAAAAGAAAAAAATATGCGAGATTCTCGCGTTCTCGCGCTGTAGTGAAAATACTGAAATTTCTGTTAATTTCATTTCAAAGATTAATAACAATTTTTTTTTTTTTTTAATTCCAGTTATTCACTTTTTCTGCAGCGGTCTGTCTAGGCCAAATTTACTACCATTTAGCGGTACCTCCACACATTCAACTTTGGGAAAAACGATAGTTTCAAAAGATACTTTTTTCTTAAAATTTTATTTTTGTATCCCTTAAGAAGCGATAAATCTACATTTTTACCACATTTTTGTGTTGATTTTTTATATAATTCTTAATTTTCACAAATTATGTCTAAATTTTCACAAAATAGGTACCTTTCAGAATAACCTAGACAGACCCCTGTTCTGTTTGAACTAGAATTCCACATGAAAAGATAAACTTTTTGAGTTCAATGATGTTCAGAATTTTGGCCCAGACCTTGCAGTTCTTTTAAAATTTATAGGAAACATATATTTTTTTTATTAATTGGTAAACAGTTTTTCTTTTTCAAACTTACCACAGATAAAATTAAACTAAAAAAATTAGTTTACAGTTTAAGTTCACTAGTGAAACACAACCCTAAATACACTAAAGTACTAATTAGCTTTAAATTGTTCTAATAGCTCTAAATAACAATTTGTGATCACGTACACAAGGTAAATATAGATTTATTTCAATATTTTTAAGCTGATGAGTAATTTTTCAGGATTAAATATCATATTTCATAATCACCACTCTTAATGTATAGTTTTTAGAATCTAAGTAAAAAATTTAAATGAATTTAAAAAAATAACATATACATTAAGAGTGACGAATTAATATTTAAAACAAAAACAATATTAAAAGGTGTTAAATCACTATTGAGGAAAATCAAATGAAAAATATCAAAATCTGTTTGATTACCTAGAGATGCTTGTAAGAATTACCACCTAACGCCTCACTATGTCCTATAGCAATAGAACCAGTTTCCATGTTTTCAATCCGAATTTTATTCAGTAGATTCATAAAATGTTTTGTTTCTTTTCCCTCACAAATATTAATTTATAATCCCTACTTCATGTATATAACTTTTTTATTTCAGTTTCATTAAGGATTCTAAAAATAAATGTTGATGGGGTCTGTACCGAGGATATAAATATGAAACCTGTATAGCTAAACTGATAACAAACACGAAACCTGTCTAAACTCATGTTCTGGTATTGGAAAAATTTTACAAATCAATATTTTTTTCAATTAAATCCTTACTTAATTTACAGCACAAAGTATTTCTTCTGAAGTTTATTAAAAAAGTTTTAAGCTAAATTTCTAGTCTCAGTACACTTTTATATTTTAAAAATTAAACTACAATCACAAAAAAAAGAAAGAAAAAGAAATAGAAAAAAAATTTATTTCCATAAATTAGAGAGTACTGAGAAATGAAAATAAAGTTAATTAAAAGATTTCAAAAAACATTTTTATGTCCCTTCATTAAAGTATTTTAGAATTTTGAATTTATTTTTCAAATTTTACTTAAGCAACAGTCTGAAATAAATGTCTAAGATATTCGGTGTCATTTAATTAATGGTGTTTTACTAAAACGGCTCCAAACAACTGTTATTATTATTATTTTGAAATATGAAAAAAAAGTAAATATTCATAAACCACAAAATTTATAATCCAAAAAGTAAAATAGGGTATATTTTGTGCTACATAGACTGAAGCAAAAAACAACTTGAATAAATCACAAATAAAATACAGAAATTGATATACTATAGTTTCAGTTCTCTAAACAAGAACCTTCCTCAGTGTCCAAACACAAAATGACAGAGATAAACACATGCAAGGAGGCAAACATTAAAAAGATAAATATTAGACGATTGGGACAAACAGTAGATGAACAAGGTAAAGAAGATGAATAAGGCAAGTCAGAGCCCCCGTGGCAGAAACACGGCGACACAGCGACATTGTCGCAGAAAGCGACTGAGTTCTTGCAGAAAGATTTTTTTTATTTGGGAAATAAAAATTTTTGGTTTGCCACAAACAAAAGTTCTCAAAATAAATTCTGCAGAAACAGAAGCTGTTTTACCAACAAAAAAAATCATTTTCTTCAGAAACAAAAAAATTCTGCAGAAGCAATAATGGTTCTGCAAACTTTTTTTCTTACAGAATTGTTTTAAATATTTTTTTTTCTAGCGTACCGCGGAAGGAGAAAGCGCTCGTAATTCTCCGTTAATCTCCAACACAAACTGTTACTGGATAAAAAGGGGAGAATTTTTTTCCCCTTTATTAAGCTATTTTTGGAAATTTGCCAACTTCGGTCTCTATCGCTGGCGCAGTAATTTGCTTTGTGTTTTTTTATGAGAACAGAGCATTTTATACGCATGCGAAAAAAATCGCATCCAATGAATATGGCTCTAATACCGATGTTTCAGTACTGATAAAGACTATTTCGTTTCGAGATGTTGAATAGACTTGAGCATATTGAGTCGGAAACTGCTTCTGCATACTTCGTGTGGAATCAGTGCTATATATTTACACAATACAGTGCGAAATCACAAGCGCTGTGTATTTTTTTCGTTCTGAACTTAATCTGATCACGAAAAAAGTTTTATTTACCTCCTTTTTTTAAAAAAAAAAATCTTTCAATAAGTCAGTACAATATTAATCGCATCTAATTAATTAGATAAAATTAATTAGATGTAGAAAAAATTGAAACAAACATTGCTTTAATTTTTTTGCTTTTAGAATTCGGTTATAGTCAATACTATTTTATTATTTTGATTACTCAACTTCAATATTAATTTTTTCACCTGATTTGTTTCTGTACCTGATATAACTACTATAGTGAAACATTAAATCATACTGTTTTAAACTGATACTTCAAATTCAGTTATCTTGTTTTATAAATTTAATCTTTTTGTCCATTCTTAGCTATTTCTATAAGTTCTATCTTATTACAGGTTCTGGGTAATCTTTATTTATGCTCTAGTAAGCATTTTTGTCTGCAGATCTATACATTTATAACTTTTCGTTATTATCGAAGATTATGCAAATTTATACTTAAACAATTTAAACTTATTAAGACATGTAAACTTATATTATGAAATTACAGTTTTATTCTATGCATGTAGACTTATTTTATAAATACGAATTTCATCTATTATTATAAATTCATTACACATACATTTATAACGATAAAAATATTGGTTCTAATTAGGTTTGTCGCAGAAAGTCAGAAAAAATTCTGCCACAGGGGTCAGAGCAATACTTGTTTAAACTTGTTCCTCTATCTTATCAATTGAACCACTTTGCAATTGTTTATCACTTTACTTTTCTTCTATTGTTTCATGTTTAAACATTGAGGAAGGTTCCTGTTTAGACAACTGAAACTATAGTAAGTTCCTGTCTACACTTTAATTGTGCTTTATTTATTAATTTGCTTTTTTTATTTATTTTTTTGCAACAGAATTTATTAAACTGGTGATTGAAATTTAAAAACTACATCTTACCGATTCCAATAAAAAGCAGACCAAAAGCAGCAAACATAACCTTCCAGTTTTCTTTGACTTTTGGATGTTTCCACCAACTAATAATAAAATAGAAATTATACATTATAAGTATAAGTAATTACAAAAACAAAAAGGTTTGTAGGCAAAATATGAAATTAAACCTCAACTAACAGAGCTAAGCTAATTACGACTACCTGCTGCCTTCTTTTTTTTGTTGCTTTTTTAACATTATATTATCTCCTGCCTTCAAGCTAACTCTGTATTATCTCATGGTCTATATTTCAGTGGCTTTAAACCTGTTTCACATTAATGAAGGTAATTTTAACATGAAATAAAATGCTCGTAACAATAGAGCAGAATTCCAAAGAACTGTTTTACTATTAAGCACAGAGAAATATGCAAAAACTTTCCTATCTAATGCTAGAGCTAGTTAAAAGATGATACGTTTTTTTTTTTTTTTTTTTTCAAAATCCTGCAGAATGTCTACACTTTTGTTCTTATAGTATTAGGTACTATTGGTATTTTGATAACAGGCAGTTGTGTTGTAATAGGTACCAAATTTACTAGAATAGGTATTTAATATATATATACATTATAATTACTGAGGTAATATGTTTTTATGCCCACCACCTAATGATTAAGCATTTAATTTCATTCACAACTTTTAAGCTTGGGTTAATGAACTAAATATGAAGTAAAGACAAACAGGCAATTTTTAAAAAGATTTTTAACACTTTAATTGTCCATTATAATTTTACATGAGCAAATTTATACAAAAAATTTTTTATTGAATTAATCTTTCTTACTTGAATAACACAGAAAAATAGGATTTGTTTCAGAGAAAAAAAATTAAGTTCCATACCAGCTTAAGTTGGAGTTTCATTAAAAAGTGTATAGATAATTTTGGTGTAATACTTGCACGAAATTCAAAATTATTGAATTTAATGATGAATACTACATTATTAGAACAGCATTCTTTAGCATAATACTTAAAATAATTAGTTAAAATAAGAAAGAAAATAATACTTACACTAATTTAGTGTCAAATTTTTCTGGACGAATTGAGTCGCCATGAATTAAAGAATCACTATCTTTTGAAAAACTCTGAAAAAGTATAATATTTTCAGTCATCAAAAGTTCAGCTAATTGAAAACTTAATAAATTTTTTTTTTTTATGAGAATAAAGTAAAATTACCTTAAAGAAAAGTAACATTTAACTAAGTTTGAGAGCATATCAATAATATAAAGTTGATTCAGTAAAAGATATTCTGATTTTACAAAAGGGCAAAAAATGATTTCTATATTTAATTTGATACTCTTATCTAATTACATTAAATGAAATTATACAAATGATAAAAAAGAAAAATTTATGAAATTATATTTAAACTACCTGCAATTTGCATTGATTCACTTTTTTTTCATTTTAGCGTGCATTGAAGTATACTGAGAAATTCTTTGCTATAAGTTACATACCTAATTATGTTAATTTTTGAAAATATAGCTTCGACATTAATTCATTTTATTTTAAAAGAGCAATAGGGCATAATTTTGTTTCATGCTCAAAATATTAAGTCCAGTAATACAGGGCTTCTATTAAAGAAAACACTGGCAGTTTCAAATTACATTTATAACCTGTTATGAGAGGTAAATTTTGATTTTATGCAAAACAGATTATTATTTATCCATAAATTTCTCATTCATGTCAAAACAACACAAAAATCTTCACTTTATTACTTTTTTTCTTGTAAAAAAATCCATAATTCATTTAGTTTCTAGACTGAAACATTAAGTTAGGCAATACCATGCTACAAATGACATTTAAAATTCAGAAGTACAATTGCAACTTAATACTGTAAATTTCTATTTTATAGAGAGAAAAAAAATTAAATCTTTATTCGTGCTTTTTATGTGTAAAAATCTTCATTTAACACTAAATCTTTATTTCATTTAGTAAAAAAGCACCAAGGAGCAATAAATTATACAGTTTCAGGTTCAAAAATTATTGTTTAATTCTGTGCTTCAGAAGAACATAAACATTTTAGAACTACAATTGAAACCTGCTAAAGGAAGTTATTATTATTTTATTCCAAGCAAATTACTTTTTGTGTGCATGAGTGTGTGTGTGAATCCCCCTATAGAGGGGAAGCTATAGTATCAGGTCCAAATTATTAAAGCAATGTAATGAATTAAGTCAAACAATGCTATGTCTAATAAGAACATTAGAAATTTTGAACTGAAGAAAATAACCTACTAAAGGAATTTTTTTTTTAGCCAAAATGATTTACTATTTCTCATATTATTAATTTTCTGTGTAAATCTAACGCTAAAATTATCTTGGAATCGCAAACATATTGCTCAAAAGTTCCGAAGTAAGTCACAGGTTATAATCAACTAATGCAATTATCTAAAATTGGCTTACATCTCCAGTTAGTTTCAGTTTGCCAAATCTGCCACGATCTATAGTTGGATCATCAATACGTATGGCGCAACTTGTAAGATCTGTACGAACATTTCGACCAGGCTTCAAAGGAGTACTTTCGGTAGTTGTACCATAAGTTTTCAAAACATCGTCGTCTTCTGTTTCAAAAGCGTCATCAATAGTAAAATTCGATTTACTGCCAAGACTCAACATCTTAAAATGACACTCTATAAATATATAGATGGAATTCAATTACGATGCAATACTAATTAAATTTTCTATTTCTAGCAACAAGCAATTACGTCATGAGTGGATACGAAATTTTAAACTTCTGTGGTTTAAAAATTGTTACACTAAAAGTGCATCCAAACAATATTAAAATACTTTTGAAAACAAGCAATCCGTCAATTATCAAGATAGTTATTTGTTTACATACAGACTGCGGAATCCTCTATATTCATTTTCAATGCCATTAATAAAAAAAAGTATTGATCAAAATATCCGAATTAAAACGAATATATTTAAGTCTAATTTATTTATGATGCAATCATTAATTTTTTTATAGTTATTATAAATTCAAACTGCACATAAACTTTAATTTCTGATCACAAGCTCTTTTTTAATCCAAATTTAATGCATCTTAAGTATCGAAGAAATAGGCAGTAGGAAACATACTTATTAATAAAAAATTTCGTGATATAAATAGACAGACAAAACAAATAACAGCACATTTTAATACTTAATTCGATCAAAAATGAATAAGTTAAGATTAATATCATTTTTTACTAAGATAGATAGTAACTTTTTACAAGTTAATTATTTCCCAAAATTTGTATCTAAAGCTGGTTTCGCGAGGTAAGTGCGTCACAAATTAAACTTTGTTATTTGATATATCTTGACAGTAACTTAATAGAATCCAACATTAACTTGATTAAAACTGAGATATTTCATTTCAGACTGTCCGAAGTTGGAAGGTTTGAACCACCCAAGTTAGACGGAAAGTATGATACTGGACAAGTGAGCTTGTTTTAAAAAAATTATATTCAGAGTTAAAATGCGTATCGTCTTCTTTTTAATAATGTTACAGTCGAAGTTTCTTCTTAGAATATTTTTTTTCACTGCAGCAGCCCTGAAACGTTTTGTATTCTTATAGTATTTATTTAAATAAACTATTCTATCGTAACCATTTTTAAATTAATGCGCATAGTTTGTTGTTTCGCTTTTTCGGTGGAAGCATTGGTAATTTACTAGCTATTGCACGAATGAAATAAATAACTTTGGAATTTCTATTAGTCAGAAATAGTCAGATGTTTAAGATATTATCCCTTGTGCGATGCCTTGCATAAATGAGTATTTTTTTTATAAGTTATTAAAGAAGTTATTTTTCAATTATAAACTCTCGACTGCAGCAGAACTGAAACATTTTATACTCCTAAAATGTTTATTTTTTGACTAGTAAAGGCATTTTTTTTTAAGAATAAAAAATATTTTATACTTATTAATCTGCCTTTTTGGATAAAATTATACTTTGAACTTTATTTGGGTATTTATATTAAAACATGAGTATTTAATCAGTCATTGTGTGATAGAAACAAATATGTTTAGAATTTATGCTGTTAAAAAAAGAATCCAAGCCTTAAGAATTGTTTCTTTCTATAATATTTAGTTTAAACTTCCATAACATTTTTAGTTTTATAAAATTTAAGGAAATTTTTCAAAGCTGATATGTCAAAGTTAGCAATTAATATTGGACTCCAGAGCTTAAGCAGTTGATCTAAGTGTTATGTCATCCATGTGTTAAAGAATAAATAACCCTATTTGGAATTTTAAAATAATTATTATGTTTAAAAAAAAAATTTTTTTTGATGAATTTGATTGCAAAAGAAAAGTCAAATTCTGTAGTCAATATTACTGTAATTTCCTTTGCATAATCCACTGATTACTTGTTACAGAAACATTCAAATTGTTGCTTCAAATAATCTGCCAAAATTATTTCTTTTAATTGGACATCCTAATTTCATATAGATTATGGTCAGCCATTAAAGTGTAAGAGACCATTCACACTGGATGCGAAAAATTCATGTACGTGAATTCGGAGATGCAAACAAGACCCTTATTGGTGAAACATATTATAAATTATTATATTTATTTTATAAATTAAATATTCTAAATTAACAACCTTCTTGGTGTAACCATGGAAAACTCTCCAAATGGGTTCTTAGTTGCACCTCAGAATTCTCATGAGATTTTTTCGCATCCAGTGTAAATGTCCCTTAAATAGGTTCAGAAGGTTTGCTTGCCAATTTCCCAGCCGATGTGTATTGTGGCTCATATGACGTAGATTCTGCTCGTGGGAAAGGCTTGTGAATTTATTTGCAACATTAATAGAATTAGATTGTTGCTCTAAACAAACCACCTTACAATCTGTGGGTTATGCAGATTGATTTATTTTCTTTGGCTGAGCTAGAGCATATTATATGCTGCACCTGCATATTATATGCTGCGACTGATAATACACTGGAAATTATGACTGGATCTCGCTTCCGAAGTCTTTCGATGTAAAAGAAAGGATTGATTTATAGAAATTAATATTTGGAAAAAACTATATTTATGTTTCCCTTCCACGTTTTTACTTTAAGAACCTTGTAGAATGTTTTGCATTGCCATTATATTCTATTAGTTTTTAAGTGTAGAATTTAATTTATTTTTTATCCTCACCAATTTTCTATTAAAGATATTATTAACTGGGAATAAATTTAATTACTGAAATTTAGTGCAACATCATTAAAATAGAATTTTAATTCTCATTTATGTATAATTTTTAGCTTTTCCTGCACAAAGTTTTTGGTTATCGTGGTGTAACGCTTTTTCCTTGGACAGCAAGAGTATTTGACAGAGATATTCTAACAAAAGAGGAAAATAAGTAAGAATTAATAAAAATTGTGAATTTTAAAACTAATAATTGCTTCTTTATTTTGATTTTAAAAAAATTTCCTAACTAATTTTTTTTCATATTTCTGGTAGAATTCATCTCTAATAATTTTTAGATGTAGTCTTTTTCTTTTTTAAACACTATAGCATGCTGCAAATGCTTATCTAGATTAAGTTGAATCTTGAAATAATAGTCAAGCTTTAATTAGATCGCTTTCAGCAAACTTATGTAGTTTTTTTAAGTTAACTGAATTTGTTACACTATTTTTACAAAACAATTTTTTAATAAATCTTAAGTTTCCTATAATTTGTTATTGATTTTTTCTTGTATGAAGCTGCAAATTCATTAAAATTAAGTAATTCAATGCTGTTTTATTTTTAAACTATGTGTTATTTTATCAGGGAAAATGAGGAAGCCAGTAGCGGCTATAATCATATTGGTAAAGAAACAACAAAAAGTCACAACCACATATATTACCAAGTTCTTATTGATTCAAGAGATTGCCCATATGTTGTAAGTGGTTTTTCTGTTCTTATATTAATTATGATTACAAGATCGTTTATTTTTGAAATTTTCTCTTCGAAAATTTTCTTTTACATTAAAATGATAATGAAAGGTTGTTTAAAAGGAATAGTCAATAATATTTTTTTTATATTATAAATAGATTTATAAGTATTATATATAATCTGGTATGTTTTATATCCACACATTATTCGTCATATTATATTTCTATAATTCTAATATTTACAAGGTTACGCTTTGGGGTGTTTAGAAAAAATTTCAAATAATCCACTGTTCAGGCAGAATATTATTAATTCCATTTATGTTGCCAGGCAACAATTTTTCCTACGGTTGCTTAGCAACAGTCTAGACTATTTTTACTTAAACATTCTTGACTATTCCTATTGTTTGACAATAAAATTTCAGAGTTTTCACTCGTAAAAAAAAAAATTATAATAATCCTTTTCAATTATGTGTTTAACTCCAAATTTCTAAACATGCTTCATAAACTTTTATCTAAAGATCAAAGAAAGTACTTAAAAATTATTTCTATATCTCTTACTTTCAAAGAAACTTAATTATGTATTATGCAGTAGACTGTTTATGAATCTAGGATTAATGCCAATTTTAAAAAAATTCCATTTTTTTACATGCTAATATGAATTTTTGATAGTTACAAGAATCTCCAAACATCAATTAACTTTAGGTTATCAGCTAAACTTTTTATTTCTAACCAAAAAGTTTCTGTACTGTCTGTTCTAAATAATTTCAGGTATCTTTCACTTCTACCTAGATTTTGAACGTAACTCAAAAGACAAGGAACCCCACACTACAGTATCGATACAAACTTCATGGTAGATTTTTAAATTAAATTAAACCATGTTTGTGTTTGGATGAAAAACCGCAATAGGAATTTTTCTTTCAATTGGCTCGATGGTAGTGAAACTTGGAATCTATTGCTGAGAATATTTTATCTCTGCTGTCAAAAGACAATATAAAACCTAGCAGTTGACTGAATATTAAAATTTAGATTACTTAAATCTTTATAAAAAATAAACATTTGTACCCGATTTGTTTTGGGTTTTGGTAAATTATTAAGACAATAACTATTGCATTTGCAATTTTTACAGAATCAGAACTCTTAAGACTGTATAATAACTTTTATTGTAATATACTAGGAAATAATTAATTTTTCCAATTGTTTCAGCGAACCCAAACAGAAGCTGTAACATTTTTAGGAAATCAAGATAACAGTAGATCTCTGTATGCAATACCTGGTAAGTCTTGGAACTTTTTATGTTATTTTTTTTTTTTACTTGTCTTAAGCTTTGCTGTTTCTTGATGATTTGATACTTCTTTCATCCGTTTAGTATGAAATATTTAACTTTGATTAAGCAATCAATTTTGTTAAATAAAGTTTGATAAAATTGCATGCTTTAAGTACTTTTGTAATATTTCCAATATGAACTTTGAATTTTTAAGTTTTTTTTTTCTTTAATAGCATTTTAAACTAAAAACAAAACTTGGTACCAGATATCTTACCAAAATTCTATTTGTGCAAACTTATAAAAAATAATTTTAAATTTTGTAAACAATACAGATTTTTTAAAAACTTAGTCAAGTTTTATTTTTTCAAAATGTATTTTATAAACTATATTTTTATGAGAATAAACAACATTTTAACCTTTTAAGTACTAGAAAATTAAATGAACTTGCACTTTTAAAATAGAAAGGTAAATGTGTTCCAAAAGCAAAATTAAAGTCATATCTTAGATAAGATCAAGTGTGCAAGATCAAACTTATTAAAAATACAAAAATTCATAATAAACTGAAAATTACTAGACTCCTGATATTGATTATCTTTTTTTTTTTTTTTTAGGAAAATTCATTTTTTTACCGTTTTTAAGTGAGCAATACTATTACAAAAATTGCAAAATGGGAAACTGTTTATTTTTTTTTTTTTTTTTTTTTTTTTTTTTTTTTTTTTTTTGTAAGCAATACAGAAATGAGAAAAAGGAACATTTCATCTTTATCTGAAAGTAAAGTATTTCCAAGACTAAAGCAAAAAAAAGTGAATAAAATACAAATAAAAGTATTGAAATGGGCATACTATAGTTCCAGTTCTAAAAAGAACCTTCCTCACTGTCCAAACACCAAATGAAAGTAAAGAGACACTTATGCAATGTGGTTTAAGCATTAGGGATTAACTAACAACTTTAACAAGATGATAAGAGAAAAGAGATACAAAGCGAGTATGAGGAAGGTTTGCGGGAACCCCAGAGTGCAAAAGATTAATATTGAATAGGTTTCCAAATATTGGGGAAGATGGTATGCTTGAAAGATCACTAACTAAATTATTAGAATTTTTCAAGGAGTAGATTATTAAAAATTAAGGCTGGTTGATGATCTTAGCAGGAAAAAAAATACTGATCCCGTTCTTTCCCAATGTTCGAAAATGTATTTATATTTTTTTTCATCCTGGGGTTCCTGACATCTTCTCACACCTCTTTTTTTTATCTTGTTCAAACTGTTTGAAAGTTTTTATTTACTGAACCGAAACTATAGTAAATCCATTTCTGTACTTTTATTTGTACTTTATTCATGTTTTTTTTTTCCTTTTTTTTCACCTTTTATGTCTTATAAAGTTATGTGGTGGTGACAATTAGAAAAATCATTTTATTTTTAGCAAATTTGCTACATCTGATAATGATCTACATCTGATCAATTTATGAGGATGTTTCTTCAGCCACTACTTTTCTATGAAATAACATTGAAAATTTTGATTTGTTCTGGGAAACAAGCCAATTTAAAGACTAATTTTATCTGAAAGACAGATGTTAAAAATTTATTTGAAAATTATATTTTTACACAATAAATATAAATATTGGTGTAACTAAAGATTAAAAAAATTTCATGTATGTAACCTTCAAGGGTTTGGGATGCATCTAAAGTTATAGATATCTAGATTTTTTCTTTAAAATTTTATATAAGTAATTTTTTACTCTGGATAACTAAGCAGTCTGGATGCATGTCTAATTTTATAAGTTCTGGATGTTATTTTAACATCTTTAAAGAATAATAACGTTGAATTTTATCACTTATATATCTTTAAATGAGGAATTAACAGTATTTCTTTTTAATTTTTTGGCTAAAAGGAAATAAAAAATAATGAAAAGATAATGAAAAAATAATGAAGATAATGAAAAATAAGAAAAAATAATGAAAATAATGATTAATAATTTGAGTTAAATGATAAATTGCAAAGTGATGCTGTTTTAAGTTTAGATTAAGTTATCTAGGGTTACATAGTGATTCGAATCAGTTGAACCATTGCAGATTAGTCTCTGGCCACTTTATTTAAAAAACTCTGAAGCATGAATTTTCAATTTATGCTATGATTAGGTAATAAAAGTAATGTATTTAACACAACTGATAAAATTATTTCTTTAAAAAAAATAATAAAAATTTCTCTGAACATACTTTTTATTGAATTTCATAATGTTGATCCCTAATCCAGCTAATTTTCTATCTAGTTATTACTTATTATTTAGAAAAATATTTTAATTCTTATATTTTAGTTTAAAACTAATTTTTTGTTTAGGTAATTATTTTCAGTTCTTTAGTAAAATTTAATAAACTGCTCATACTTACTATTTTGCTTATTGTGGGGCTATTTTTCTAACTTTATAAATATTTTAACTTATTCATCAAAATTTTATAATCTAGTTCTCTTTTAGTATGTTGCTAATTCTCAAAGTGAATAGATCTTTTCAGTTAGAAAATTATAAACATTTTAATTATATTATTTCATTCTTGTGTAGGTCTTGATTATGTAGCCCATGAAGATATATTACCTTACACCAGTACAGAAAAGACCCCAATAGCCCATGAATTATTTGATAAATTCTTAATGTACGATCCTGAAAAAGGTAAGATATACCATATATAAATTTCAAAGTTTATCTTTCTCAATATTTAAGAAGTTATGAGGGGAACAGGGTTCGAATCCCAGCGATGGCTGGTCAATACGAATTTCATCCAGCTTGCACCGACCAAAGTGCTGGCATGAAATATCCTCTGTGGAAGGTGGATCATGGGTTAGTTCTCTTGCTGTCAGGCTAACTATGAGAGGTTTTCGTGGTTGTCAATCCCATGTAATGCAAATGCGGATTAGTTCCATCAAAAAGTCCTCTACTAAGGCAAATTTCCAGCAATACTTGATCTAGGAGTTTCCTTACCTTCTGGATTGGGCTCAAAATTAACAGGCTACGGAGTTGAACATTATTAGTCGTAAACCCAACAAATTGGGTCGGCTGTTCAATGATTGTTTTAAAACGAAATATTAAAAAGGTTGAAGAATTATTTTTGAAAACATGATAAATTAAAACTTTGATATTGTTTGTTAAATTTAGAGAATAAATATGCCATTTATAGCTCTAAAAATGTAACCAGCTTAAATAGGGCATATTTGAAATGGCTAAATTAGTTTTTATTATATCTAGTGTAGGTTCTATTAAGCATGTTTTTTTATTTTTAACATGATGTACTTATAAAAATTCAGCTTAGCTTCTCTAAGCTGCCTGGCTTAGTAGTTAAAACACTTAACTTTTATTGTGAAGATTATTGTGAAGGTTCGATTCCCAATGACAAGTTAAACACCCCCCTCCAGCTTCAGGTTGATGTATATGAGCTTGTTTGAAAATTATAAATAGTCTGTTTGGAATGTTGACCACATTGCCGCAGTCGTGTGCTGTTTGTCACAAGATCGTGTAGCCTTTACCTCAATGACCTTCTGGCCCACAGCAGGCTGTTGTAGAAATACTTCTCCATTCGATGTTAAATCACTAAAGGGCCATGCTACGTGTCCAAACATAGAAATGAGGGATCCAAAATTTATAGATGTTGCTAGAACTAAAATAATATCCCTAATAACCATAATTTAATTCTATTCTTTAAATTTAAAAAAATTAATATTTTTAAAAAAATTAGGTTGTTGTAGTTCATTTACATCGCACTAGAGCTGCACATTGCGCTATTTGCGACAGTCTGGAAAACATCCCTGCGGATGATCCGAAGTCATGCCATCACAATTTTGATCCTCTGCAGAGAGGATGTCACCCCTCAGTAGCCCGACAAACTGCACTAAAAAAAGTTTTAGTACATCGTTTGCATTAATATATTTGACACTAAGCACTGGCTTAGTTTATTCATGAAGATAAACTTAAAAAATATTGATTGATAAAATCTTTAAAAATGTTTTGTAGACTCATTCAAAAAAAATATTTTGAGAGATAAAAATTTGAAACTCATATAAATGAAAAAGGTATAACACATTAGAGCTACTTCGGCTAAGTGTTTAAGATGCTCTGCTGTTACAGTGAAGGATTGTAGTTATATGTATGTTAAAACTATGAGTATGGTACTACATTTCCATTTTGGACCTTGTACCATTAAGTCCTGTCAATTCTTCCTTGGCGGCTTGGAGATCACCCTATTTATGCTTGATTAGGCTCTTTCTTGATAGGCGAAAGTGAAATGCTGACCATATTGCCAATAACATGCCATTGGTCTTAGAATAATATACCTCTTAAACTGCATAATTGGCTATTTCAGGAATGCTATACTTTTTGATTAATTTATAATTTTTAAGATAAAAACTATTTCAGTTCATTATATTGCACTAGATTAAGTCTCCCGAAAGTTCTTAAATCTTTAAAATTAAAAGATTTACTTTTAGACTAAATTATAGTTTATGTTGGATTATGATCAGGGTTGGCAAGTTTTTGACACATGGCGGTTTTTACCGGTTTATATCATGGTTTTTACCGTCATGTCAAAAACCCCTCTGTCAAAAACCCATAGTTTTGGTAAAACTGTATTTTTATTTGAGTTTAACTGCTTGTAATTTAAAATTAATTCATTTTCGGCAGTAAAATTAGAAAAAAAGTTGTTAAAAGATAAAGAACAAATTCTTGCATTTTCCCAACATGATTATATTAAAACATACTATTTGAAGTAAAATATTAGGATTATAAACAAAATTTTCAACATTTCCGAGCATCATTTTGTTTGGCATATTACATTACTGAAGAATGTCAAGTCATTCTTGACTTAGAGTTTGTTAGTAGCTACAAGTTTTGAAAGTTTAGTTTAACTTATTTCTAATATTTAAGAAATGCCAAATTTTAAATTCTTCTTTTTAGTTCTTGAATTTATTAATACAGTGTAACGTCCCATATCCGGACGTCCCTTTCCCGGAAGGGTCGATTTCCCGGACACTTTTTAACAATCAAAATAAACAAACATCTCTCCGTCTTCCCCTTTCTGAAAAAAAAAAAAAATTCTTTTGACACATTTTCTCTTTTTCTAGCTTGCACTGAACCTCTGATTCATGCATCGAACCCATAAATCACCAGAAAGGGGAAGTGAAGATCTACCAAGACCATTGAGGGACCGTTAGTGATGCTCCTCCTATGGAATGTAGGAAAAAGAGGGAGATTTGTTTTCAAAAGACCGCAACTGAGTCCCCCCCCCCTCCTTTCCCATGCAGGTGGCTAGTAAAAGAGGCATTTCCTGGAAACTTTTTATTGAAAGAAGAAATACTGTGGAAAAGGGTAAACGGGGCAAGCGTTAAGGTGGGGGGGAGTCAGAATGGAAAATTTGAATAGGTCTAAAAGGATACACGTCCTTGAGAAACAAAACATTCGTTCTTCCCCATACCATGTAATATTTAGGAGGCGGGGGGAAAGGGGGTAACATTCTTTCTTTAGCAGATTCTTTCAGTCATAAAAGAAAAAATAAAGAGAACCTGATCAGCGTGTCCCGCCTTTATGCTTGATTGATAGCCAATGATAGGAGAGAAAACAATAATTTGTTACTTCCCCACCCTCAACTTAAATGATCTCCTCTTTACACTTATTTTCTTTCACAAATAAGGAGGAAATGAATTTCTCTCCTCCATCTACCCACCTTAATGAATGACGGGAATTTTCCTTTCTTGCTTGAATCATTCTAGTTAAAAATGGCGGATTATTATTTTCATATGTCACTTTTTTTTAGTTTTCTATATTTTAAGCAATAATATTTTTTTTGTAATATTTCATGTTTTATTGATTAGATATTCTAATACTAAAACATTATTCCCCTTAAAAATAATGTTTATTTATTTTTTGCTTCTTAGATTTAGATCATTTTAAGCTTTGTTCCAGAATGACATGAATTTCCCCTTCCTGCTTGAATCGTTCTAGTTCAAAATGGCGGATTAATATTTTCGTAACTGTTAAATTTTTTTCGTTTTCCATATTTTCAGCAATAATATTTTTTTTCTAATATTTTATATTTGATTGATTAGATATTTTAATGCTAAAACATTATTCCCCTTAAAAATAGTGTTTATTTATTTTTTGCTTCTTAGATTCAGATCGTTTATTAATTCATTTTAAGCTTTGTTTACCTTGGGGGTGTATTATACGGAAAAATATATTATACGGACTTCTGGAAGTCCCACCGATTCCGGATACGCGACTTTACACTGTAGCTCCAAGCTTTTTTGTTTGTTTGTTTATTTCTAACAATTAAGAAGTGCAAGATTTTGAATCCTTTAAAATCAAGCTATAATGATAAAAATAAGTATCACTATTTTCAATAAGTATATTACAATATTTCTATATGAATGTATATCCTTCTGTAAGAATACATGTATATAGTTGCAAAATCAATAGCAATCATTTATAAAGGCAATTATGTGAAAATAATATATTGTCTGCTATATGCCATAAATTAAGGAAAACAGTAGGTTTTTGACTGTTTTTACCACTGTCATGTCAAAAACCCAACCCTGATTATGATATTAATTTTTATAAAATTTAAAAATGAGTAAAAAAGAAATTAATAGGATGGGTTTTATAAAAGTAATATATAAAAATTTTATAAAAATAACTAAAGAAAAAGCTTACAACTTTTTTTTAAATTGGCATCATTTATATTTTAATCAAATATGAAATCAATTGATTTTTTTGACTTTTTAGATCCTCCATTTAGCTGTAGAGAAACATTACGAGCTTGGCAAGAAAAGAATCATCCTTGGTTAGAACTTTCTGATGTACATAAAGAAACGACTAGTAATATCAGAATTACTGTAATACCATTTTATATGGGACAAAGAGTAAGTGCCAATATTCAAAATTTATATACCTAAGCTTTATTACTGCACTAAAAATTTCTCAACTATTTTATTCATTTTTAATAATTTAAGTTTGTCTTCTTTTATCAATTAAAATTGAACCAAAATTATTTGCATGAAAATTGCTGGGGGGTTTTTTTTCCTTGTTATTATAAACACCGAAGAGCCATTACATTATAACCACTCTTCATCTATAACAATGGGCTCGCCCAGGTTTTCATGGTTTCTCACCCATGGGGCGCATTAAGACCCGTAATCCTCATGGAACAATCCCTGACGTCTGTAAGCTACTTGAACATAGTTGCAGACCAGGTTCACCCATTCATGGCAACAGTTTTTCCTGCGGGGGGTGGTGTTTACCAACAGGATAATGCACCATGTCATAAGGGTCGAATCGTCGAGGAAAATTCCAGTGACTTTCAAGTCATGTCTTGGTCCCCAAATTCACCTGACCTTAATCCAATAGAGCATTTGTGGTCCTACTTGGAAAACCAAATTCGTGCTGCCACGCTATCCCCTTGCAATGTGAGGGAATTGCAGGACCAGTTGGTGATTGCTTGGTACCAGATACCTCAGACTACCTATCAGCACCTTGTGGAATCAATGCCACGGCGG